AGTTGCGGCTCTTCTGTGTAGAAAATGTGGTCTTCAAATTTGTATTTGGACATTGTATTGATTTTCTGAGTACCCTTACTTAGCTTCTTTACCTACATTAACCCTGCGGTACATCTGTTTTGTGAATTCCCCTTAGCCCTGTCTTTGGTTGTCTTGTTCAGAATGATACCAAATTGTGCTCAAGAAAGACGATTCCAGTTGTCCTAAATGTCTGTGTGACCTGAATTAAGACCTGAATGCGGTTTAAATGGGTTGAGAGAAGATTTGGGTTATGTATTCATGGATATGGTTTGGGTGACTGTTGACTTTCAGGTGTGTTAGCGCTGTTAGCCCAGCACCTCCAGTTCTAAACTTAATAAGCAAAATTTGGAAACAAAACATGTCTTGGCTGATCGACTGCATTTTGCTCACCACTTTGCAAAGCTCAAGATTTAACTGCTTCAGTACATTTAGTGTCACTATATTAAACCCTGCATGTTTCTGCTCAAGGCACCAAGCAGTAGAAAAACAAAGTTTCATATTTATTAAACATATAAACTCCATTAGTGTCAGGTATTTGTTATTTTTTTTAATAATTTATGCAAAAGTTATTGTAACCAGTAGCTATACATGCTTTCTAATAATAACCAACTAGCAATAACAAGGTGACTTATACATAGTCAGATAACACTGCAAAAAACATTTCGTCATGCAGATGTCTTCAGTGTGTGGTTTCTGCAAATACTGATTGCTGTACACTTCAGGAAAACTTAAAATACGAGCTAATTTTGATTTTTAAATTGCAAAAGGATGTGAAAAAATAAGCTAGTCTTGTCACTAACTACACATATAAAGGTCATCACGCAGCATCAAAATTTAATAAATTTGATCTTTTATTCCTGCCTGTGCCATATAGACAATGCACATACACTAGTGTTCACAAATTTAGAATCACTGTTCAAAAGTTTGGAATCATGTTTCTCAATAAAATAAAGACAGTTTCCTTGCAAAAAAAATAATATGATTATAATATATATATGCAACTTCAAATGTTTAAAATTATTAGTAGGTCTGTATAAATTAAGGTTAGTGAGAAGTGTCTAAAATGATGATTCTGAATTGACTGTACAACATCAAGAATTAAATGAAAATAAATTTGATAACCAGAATATCCAGTAAAGTGGTGATGATCTCAGACAGGAAAGCAGACAAAAAAATCAAATAATTTTGTGAAATGAAACTCTTTAAATATTGAATAAAACATCTAAAAAATTGCCTTTGATGTCTAGTTTGTAAAATTTGAATCTACATTGTATGTTATTTTCGCATAAAAAAATTAATATGACAGCTGATTTCAAACTTAAACTGGTGGAAAACAATGACATCATGTGAGTCAATAGCTGAGATGCTTGCAAAGCCTGTTAATGAATCTGCATCAGGTATTAATCTTAAAGCTTTTTATAAATTAATCAGTGACTTTGAAGCAAATTGGAAGGAATTGAAACATAAAGCCACATGCTTGCTTTTGCAGTTTGAGGAATAAAATCATTGTGGTCATTATGAACAGTTGACATCTTTAGATTAAGCTAATACCTCCTTAGGGATTTTGGGAGGGTCCCTTTGCAGTAACTGTCACATTGAGGCACCATTAGACCTCCAGGTTGTGAAGGTAGAGTGTGTTACAAGGCTGTCATTTTCTTCATTTTCATCTAGAAAAAAACTCAAACAGCCATAAATGTGTGAGCAGGTAGGACTTCCAAGCCACTCTTTTTTTCCCTGCGTGCATAGAGCATGCAGCGAATCAGATTCGCTCCACTCAGTTTCACAGTGAAATTGTTCTGGTTCCAGATGTCATTGCTGGATTTGAGGCTTGCCTGTGAAGTTCCCTGTGGAACTATTCGTTCTCCTCCTGCCTCCATTTCTTCAGTTATTCTCTATGATCTCAAATGAGTATAAGTTGAAAGAGCTGATTGGAGCAGCTCGGATCTGCTCCGAGAGCTCAGAGATTTGTGGCAGTACTGGCACCGAGCAAAGGCTGTATGAAGAGCACTGACTGCAGCCATAACTGCTTAATAAACAGTATTACTAGGGCTGCACAATAATAAGGCCTGTTAATCGTTATCGCGATATTGCGCCTTGCAGTCCTCATCTCAGAGAAGGCCATAATATGCAGATGCGCACTGCTTTGAGTATCTTGACCAACAACAGTTGAAGATGAGTGTTTTTGTGGGTGAAGTGTACATAAAATTCAAGAAGTGTACATTTTTAGTATTTAGTGTGTCCACGCTTTGCTTTTATTACAGCTCACATTCTTTTCAGGACACTGCTACTGCACTTTTGGGCCTCCTTAGCCACTGTATAATCTGGATCATAAGTACAGTTTGGGCATCACATGAATTCATGTGAATGCACCTCTATCACACACATACTACCTTCAGGTGGAAGGGTGAGCTTTATTTGAGTTAATACAACCTAGAGGTAACCAGCCTTCAGGGTACAACGTCACAGCTTTGATGAAATCATGACTGTGTCCATTATTCTTACTGTGCCAGTTCAGTTTCCTCACCGTAATGAGAAAGATGGTTATGAACACGTTACTCTATATGTTTACTAATGTGGTATTATAATGTAAAGTCATGCCAGAGGCTGTGGGTCATTTGCACTTATAGATTGCTGAGAACAAAACAGCTCACCCAATACTAGTCATATTTAACCTCTGCCCTGCGAAATGAGACCGCTTAACAGCTCTATTGATTGTGAATGTGATAGGCCTGGATAGCTTTTATTATCTAGCCATGCAGATGATTAGAACATGAGGCCTAGGGACTCGACACCTCTACTTATCACCTGGTCAACCGTGTAAGCCCTCTCACCTTTTCTTTCTCCTTCCTTCCTTTTTTTTTTTAGTCTTACTCTGAGCACTGTTAAAAACTAAAAGTTCTTAAATGGTTCCTGGCTTGTATGTACAGCTCCAGTACAGCTCATTATTAAACCTTTACCTTATTTGGAGGTTCATTGTTTCAATTTTTGCATATCTTCTTCAATTCTCCTTTAAAGGCACTCGCATATAACCTGGTACTTAAACGTTTCATATCAAAACACTTTGCACACCATTTCATTTGTGTCTCTGATGTGGACTGAATGAAGAATGAAGGGTTTCTGGCATGTTGCATCAGTCCATGGTGATTTCCTGAGTGTCCATTGGTCAGTTTCACACAAAGTGTAGACAGACACACAAATCGACCAGTTACACACGTTAAGAGGCAGATGACGTGTTTCTCAACCCCTCTTCACAGCCTCATAACTCCGGATGTGAGTCACAAACGATCTTGTGATAAGATGGAAGTGAAAGGGCAGACTGTACAGATTCAGGAAATGTTTGAATCATATTTCTGTGCTGTATTATCACAAAGGCTATGTTCACATTACCAGGTTGAAGTGGCACAAATCTGATTTTTTGCCGTAATGTGACTCAGATCTGACGTTTTCAGGGCTGTGTGGACACGCAAATCTCATCTTTTCAATACAACCTGAGTCACTTTCATACGTGGTCCTAGATCGTATGCACATTCGATTCGTGGCCATGCGACCTTAATGTGAACACTCAGATCGGAATTCATGTGCTTTTTTTCCACTGCGTGTGTGCCATCATTCAGCGTTACCATGGCAGCAGCGCCGAACAGAAGTTAAAGCCTGTAAATGGTGGAAAAGAAACACATCTCACCTTTTTGCCTTCGTCTCGCTCTAATAATGAACAGCTGAGAGCTGATCAGAGTTAATTATCTTTGCAGCAAAGGCTCGTTCTGACCGTTAGTCTGTTTGCTGATGATGCACGTGACGCACGAGATTCATTCACGTGATGTTACTGAGTAGGATGTGCGCATGCAGGGTCATTTCAGGGCGCCGGCTCGTTCACATTAATGACAGATTTGAATCACTTACCTAAACGAGTGTGAACCATCATGTCAGAGAGATCGGATTTGAGCAATGAGGTTTGTAATGTGAACGTAGCTAAAGATAGAAAAACAGATATAAATACATTGAATGTGACGCACATGGAAGTTTGTGGACCCCAGAGGGATAACCCTTTAAGGGCTGATGCAAAAAATGTGGCTGTTTCTGCAGGTTTATCTGCTGTTCCATGTCAATCACATGATATCTCGGTGCTGTTGCTGCATGCATTTGATAAGGAAAGAACGTTCACATATCAGTTGTGTTTTATTGCTACTCTAATTAAACAATAATAAGAGCTTATAATTCTGAATCTAGCTCTGAATGAGCTTGTATGCTTATTTGGAAAAAGTCACAGTGCATCAAAGGATGCCTCATGCGTCTTTTATACAGCGGTAGAAAACATGGAGGCACGCAGAATGTTCTTATTCTACAAGATGATACATTTCACTCTGGTCAGCTTGGGCATGCACATGCCGTAACTCCTCTGGTGGCTGAGTTTAAGAAGTTAAAGGGGCCATAACCAGATTCTTTGAATTGGATCACTCTCTAGACGCTCGGATCTATAGAGTTAACACCTTAAATGCCCTGGACCTGCTGGTGGGTGCAGGTTTCCATTCTGTTCCATTTCTCACTCTCAAGTAGCTTAAGGCTAACTCAGTTTGTAGCTTGGTTTCTGTAGCGTAGTGGTTATCATGTTTGCCTCACTTGTGAAAGGTCCCTGGTTTGAAACTGGGCAAAAACAAGGGTGTTTGCACTGTTTTCCATGTAAGTACTGAATGATAACCCTAAGGATGTAATAAGCCTGGGAATTTAGGGGTTTAAAGGTTCTTCACACTCACACATCTCATTTACAAAAATAGTTCTTGAAACAGCCGCACATTTAAAGGTTCATTTGGAGAGAGCAAATGTTCTGTTATGGCACTGATCCAAAGAATCCTTTTTGGCACTTATTTTTAAATAAAAGTCTAGTTTACGTGCTCAGGAGGAGTCATTCATCTGTTTTTGTTGCTGTCATGTTCTGTTAGGCAAAACATGTGTTTTCATTGATTATATTCTTGTATCTGCAGGTTAACGGGCTTCCAGCTTCCTCCACCCATAGTCAGCACTGGAGCAAGACTTACACTGTGGCTACTGTCAGACTATGCTGTGAGTGGCCAGGGCTTCAAAGCAGTATATGAAGGTAGGTGTCCAATATGATGTGTAGGCTAATGTCTCTCTCCCTCTCTCTCTCTCTCTCTCTCTCTGTCTTTTAAACATAAACACAGCCTCACTCGTCCCTCTATTCCTTTTCCATTTTGCCTCTGGACACTTGCTGTTCTTTCTTTGTGTCTCGTTCTTTGTTGTTCTGTGTTGTTGTAACCACTCTCAATTGCCATCCCTGTTCAGAGTGCTGTGCAAGACAATGACGCACTGACACGGTCTATTGGTCCGGTACTGAGTGAGCTCAGTGATGGGAAGAGAGTGGACGCCCACATTAGCATGCCTGCCAGATTCAACTTTCATCTCCCTTTTTGTAGGCTAATTGTATTAATATGCATGGTTAATTTAACGCATAAAATCAGACCATGCTTTCTTTTTGGGTTCCACGCTGGGTCGTTGTCATATTTCTTCTGATCTAAGTGATTTTACGGCCCAGATGTTAGCATTTTTAACTCCTGCTTCAAACTTGCTAAAGAGAGAGTGAATCTGCAGTAATTGCACTAATTAACTGACTGGGAGTGCTATTGGGTGGCAGGTGAATTGAGCCCTCTGGCTACTTGGTCTGCGCAGTGCTAATGGACATGGCCTGTCAGCTAGAAGGCAGAAGCTATGTGGTCTATTTAGCCTGACAATATTCTTAAAACTACCATTACACATGCGTCTTCATACGTTTAGGCCTGTTTAACCTTGCTTGTTTTTGACTGGGTGACTGTTTTTCACTGCAGCGCTGTAGAAAAGCATAATTGGATACACTGAGTATGCAGACATCACCGTCATCTAATGGTTGAGTGTACAGACATGGCCATTAGCGAGCACAGGGTCATACCGAGTTTATGGAAAATGCTTCATTCACTTCAGAATCATTGTGCGTTGTTTAAAGAGTAACAGCAGAGAATTTGTAGTGAGGAGAATTGCCGCTCAATAATGTATTCTGGGTTTGTCAGACACTAGAGGGTGCTCCTGAGCGAGTGCAAAATGAATGAGTACCTTCAGAGCTTTTGTACAAAATCGTAGTGAATGCTTAATAATTTTAATACAGAAAAATACACTGATTTTCCCAAAAAAGAAGAGCATAAAATATTTCAAGACTACTGTCATATTTTTAAGCACTTTTAAACTCAAAATATCGAGGACTTTTAAAAAGTGCCTTGCGCATTCATGACGTTGGTGAGCGCAGACTGCTTTACTCAGCCAAAGAGCTGATCAACGCACCAAACAGTTGGTAATCAGCAGCAATAATGCTAGCATCCTAGAAAAAAGGGAAAGATACTGATACGTTTTTTGTGATGTTTTTAATAGAATACATCCTTCTACCTTCCAAAATCATGAGAAGTTACTTGGAAAAAGTCACAGGGCATCAAACAATAAAGGATGCCTCATGCATCTTTTATACAGTGATAGAAAGCATGGTGGCAGCCATATAAAAAAGCCATATAAAAGCAGAAAGGGAAAGACAGAATGGTCCGGCTTAGCACACAGATAGCCACACCCATCTTATCTTTAAAACTGCTCTATGTACATTTTGTGGATTTGGGGACCTCTCTGGTGGAAATGTGTAATTGCACAGAACGTGCGGAAGAACATTTTGTAACATCACTTGTGCTTTGGACCACTTCCCTGACCAGATGAATCTGATGATTGCGAGCGCTTTGAAAGAATGTTCAAAGCGAATTCAGTCAAAACTTAATGAATGACATGAGGATGAGGATGTAAGTGAATGATCTACTACTGTCAGCATATCTTAAACAGTATGATGTAGATTTTGCATTATAGACATAAAAATTGAACAAGACCTTCTTTTTGAGACTGTGCTTGTGATGTTAATACGTAAAGATGTATGATGTGGTCCAGAAGACTCCTGCTAAATCCAACTTGATGCCTCTTTTTAAATGTTATTTATTTCAAGCTTTACAGGGTGACACACAGCAACACATGGACACCGTATTTTGTTCATGTTTTTTCTCTCCTGACAAGCTGAAATTAGCATTACTGTCTCTGTGGTAATGGACAGATGAAAATAAGCCAATAAATTTATGATCTTGGTTTGATTTCTAAGTTTGCTTTGCCAGTTTCTGAACTAACCTTAAGTAGGTGGTTGGTTAATTTACAGCTGGGTTATCATGCTTTGATTCTCACATTTCAAACTCATGTTTGTTCAGTGCAGCAAGAGACGAGCATTGTCATCAGGGGGAGGTAACGCTAGTTGACTGGCAGTGTGATGTAGATTTGCACTTTATTACTGATCTGCTGTCTGTCATACGTGCCTATAACAGAGTTAATCCAGAGGGGGCACTAAAGAGGCTGAACAGATCACGATTATGACATTATTTTGACAATTTGAAGTGTTAAAATTTTAACAAAGACCAGTTTATTTATTAATACAAAGCAATATATTTCAGTTTTAAATGAAAAAAAAATGCTTTGGGGTGTAATTACACTTTAAACCTTCCATTTCTATTTCTCTCACTCTCTGTCCCTCTCTCTTTCAAACAGCCTCTCATATCCCTTCTGTTCTTCTTGTTTAAGTCCCTATGCACGCTGAAAGCAATTGCTCTTCAGGTGATGGGCTGGCTTTGGCACTGGTGTGGAATGGTTATTGATATGGTGTAATTGGGAGATATCGAATTCTCTGGTTCCAGCAGCTAAGTGAAAATTTAATTGGAAACTTCAATCATGGTGAGCAACAGGAAGTGATGGAACAAGTGGGAGAGAGAGGAGTGTGCTGGCTCTGTGCGTGTTCCTCTGAGAGCCAACCTACACTAATACAGATAGTCCTCTTATCTGACCCATATGGATCGGCCTAAATCACACTGTCGCTGTAATTATGTGTCACTACCCGTCACATGACCTGCACAGGGGTTGCTGAATTAGAGAGTGTGATATATGCAGCACGTGCCCCTGGTCCGACTTTCACCGTAATGAGAAGCCTGTGAACCGTTATCAATCCCACACAGCCAGACACTTGGACTGTTTTAGTGATCTGCAGTCGCACTGTCCCTCAGAACTCTAGACAGACTCATGATGGCAAATTTAAAAATGTCCAATTATAGTTTTTTCCATCTCAATAGCTCCTTTTAATGGTGGGCCTTAAGCTGTGAATAGGTTCTTTCCCCATAGTGTGCCTCCTGACAGGGCCAAGGATGGAGTTGTGACCTCAGACAGAGCTTTGTGGACAGTTGTCCTTAAGAAAAATATAATAATGAAGCTGCATTTGTAGCTGCTGATGTCCTTTCAAGGCAACATGTACTAAATTTTATATATTTTATTTTTTGCCTTGAGGTCCACTTTCGTGTGGTTTTATTTACTAAAAACCATCATAATTCCTTTTACATGACCGAATTGTAACCTTTCTTTATCCCTAAGAATTAAAGAGGCCTTTAAAATTGATATATGGCAGTGACCTCTGTTCTGATTGGCTGTCCTGTATTGTACCTCTTTCAAAAGAGAGACTGGCCTGAGACATTCCTTTAACTTTAAGGTAAATGGAGTGGCTACACCGTAGGCTGACTAGGTGGATACACTGTACTGTGCAAAAGTATGCAGACCATTCCTTTATTTACTTAATTCCAGTCAAATTGGCCATTAAATACAAGTCTGAATAAACAGAAAACATGTATTTAACAGAAGACTAAGTGTACACTCTTTGCATTCAGGAGACTTGCTTTCAGTTTTTCAAAGAAATCTGCAGGGATACTTTTCTGCACACTGCAAAAAATTATTTTGTTATGTGAAATAATCTTAAATCTAGTCAATATATCTAATATTTTTCACATTGAAGTTGTTTTAAGCTTATTATAAGGTTATTTAACTTATTTCTAAACATTTTTGCTTGTTGTAAGTGATGTTACTTAGACCAGATTATCTCACTGTATTGGCAGATATATGTGTTTGTTTCAAGCGTATTTCTTACAACAAGCAAAATTATCTGCCCACATACTGAGATAATTGAATAATCCTATAATAAGCTTACCGCAAACCCAAAATGAGAAATATTTGATATATTGACTAGATTTGAGATCATTCCAGTTGCCACGGTACTATTTTTTGCAATGCACCAGAAGTTGGTTGCATTTTCTGCTTCTTGTGATCCAACTAATCCCAAACACATTCAGTGGTATTAAGGTTTGGGTTCAAAGATGAAAGCATTAAGTACTGTTTATCAGATGGTGACAGTTTTGGTGGTCTACCAGGTCTTGCGAGGTTTTTGGAGTCCTGTTTTCACTACATCTTTTAACACTTTTTCTAGTATTTTTCACTTATTTTGCTTTGGCATTAACCTTCCTTAGCAAGTGGATTATCTTACATCACATCTTCCTAAATTTCCTAAATCTAATCTAAGAAATATCTTCTGAAAATGAATAGCTTGTGTTTAAAGTCATTTTGACTGGAAATTTAAAAGAAATGGAGATAAGTGTCTGACTAGTGCAAAGCACTGTACTGTGAATGTGTTGATTTTTGTAACATCACAAAAACGGGACTGTTTTTGAAGCTCAGTTTCAAAGGTGAACTGAAAGTTACATTTTAAAACATTGTTTACACACTTCATCAGACTCTTTTATTTTTAAAAAAGGGATGAAAATTTGGTGTTTCATAATACAGACCCTTTAATTATTGTAGCCAAGCTGGGCTCGGTTTTCTACCCTTCTCTGGATTGTTGTTACACTGTTTGGTGTTTTTGCCAAAGAACTGTCAGGTGTATGAAAAAGTAGAACTCCATCTATGGAAATAAACAAGCTTGCACTCGGCTTCAGGCACTGTTAGAGAGTTTGATATATGCAGCACATGCCCCTAGTTTGACTTTCACAAAAAACAACACTATAATGAGAAGCCTGTGAGCCCTAGGACGCTGGACTGTTTGTAATCTTTAGTTCCAGTGTTGCTCAGAGCACCTTATAAACTCATGCAGGGCAATTTAAAATGTAATAATAATAAAGTGTATATATATATATATATATATATATATATAATTTTATATATTAA